TTTTAGCCAAACATTTTGATAGTTCTGAAACAAAAGACTGAGATAGTTATTATTGCATGTGGAAAAATATTTTTATCATTTCAAAAATTAAACTATTACTGAAGTCAGTAATTTCAATATAATTATAGTTTTGTGGTCTAGTTTTTTTCAAAACAATTTTTGAGACCAGATAGTATGAATAATATAACCATTTTGTGTTTGTTTCCCAACCTGACTGCTCAAGTGTAGTATAAATTTTAAGTATAAATAGTAGAAATTGATTCTAAATCCATCATTTCTTTTTTTCCATCTCCTATATGCTGGAAAGGTACTAAGTTTATTTACTGTTCTTTCAAAGTGGGTCTGTGGCCTACGAAGTCCAGGAACAAGCATAGGGGAATTTGGCTATTTGTTTCTAGTTTGTTTTCTAGTTTCATGTTAATCAGTCCATCATAAACTTTAATTTTAATTAATTTTACATACCACATATAGAGTATCTTTTTAAGTGATGGTTTTAGAGTTTGACATTTAGATTTCCTTCATTACAGATCACAGAGACAGGGTTTTCAGGGAGCTGAATTTCAGATTACTTCATTTTATGGACTTGGTCCTCTGTTGAATTATTTGGACAGAATAATACAGCCAGAGATTGTAAAAGATCCAAAGAATTGAGCATGTTTTTCTAGTGATTTTCATTTAATTTATCTCTTTGTATATTTATCACGCTTTGTGTTTGTTTTAAAACCATTTTGGTATGCCGAGCTCTGCATTGTGGATTAACTTAATGACTTTCAAACCTTATGTTCTGTGCTATCCTTTTATGTTTCTTCCAAATTTTTTGGCAAGCTCTAATATTCTTTAATACTTCCCCTGTGCCATTACATGAGATTTGAAATTTAATAGAAGATGTCTGTGTCTGGTATAGACTCTGTTTCTTATGTCTTAACAACTCTTTACTAGGATAGTTCAGTATTTGTGAAGTAGAGAACAATTGTATTTTAAACTACCATGCATTGCTAACAACACATATTATACTTCAAGCTATTTCATGAACAAATAGTCTAACTTCTGAAATTTTTTTTCACAATGCAGTAAATATGATATAGACTTCTAGTTGGAAAGTTCCAACTGCAAGGATCTGTAACATTTTGTCTCCTTGAAGAGCTAATCTTCTTTTATCTTTCCAATTATAATGTTTATGATTAAGCCAAATGTTAGTTTGAAAAAACACTCAGATAATTGTGAGAGTGAGCAGGAAAACAAAATGCTGGAGTTCATCTCTATCAAACCAGTTGTGCTTAGTAATAAACAAATTTTATTGCAATCACTTTCATTTCAGTTTCTTCTAGCTTGTAATGTGGATCCTTCTGTTCTGATGTGGTCATTAGCGGTATAATACAGTACAGAAGTTACCAGTAGTGTACTCAGGAACACACTGCCACCTATTAACAGTCAGGTATTGGGGAGGGCTGGGAAGGTAAGGAGTTCCAGTTCTTGCTTGCCTAAAGATCAGGGGAAGAAGGAGCATCACCTGCCATGCTGAGCAGAGGTGATACGTCCTGATAGAGAGAAGGGACTGCAGCCACGGGGACCTGACTTTCCAAGAATGCATTTTGAACAGCACTTTTGAGAACTGACTCTTTTTACGTAGGGTATTGCTTAATTAAACCAATTTACTTTCTTTGCAGTTCTGGTGATATATAATTTTTTTTTTTTTTTTTTTTTTTTTTTTGAAAGCATGGCCTGCAGTTCTCCCCATTCCACTCCCCACCTCCCATGTGCAGTGAAAAACAGACATCTGAACAAAACTACATAATTTTAGAAGACTTAACAGATCTTTCGGAAACGCAGAGATAATACAGACTCTTTAATGTGTCAGTATGTGTGTACCAATCCCAATGGTTAGTTTGTTCAAGCAAGAACAGATCTAATAAGATGTATCATTCAAAATGGGTCCAAACTGGCCTAACAGGTTGTTGTTAGTAAGATTAAACCAATACATCTATAAAAAGGTTTATTTGTTTCTAACTTAAAAGAAAATAAATAAATAACTAAATTGCGCTTTTAGCTGCAATATGACTTCAGGAGGAGCTTGCAGGTCTTAATTCAGTAATCAATGAGAACTCAGATTAGATTAGGGCACCAGCTTGTGTTTTTGGGGTTACAGCCCAGCAAATCTGTGTTGCAAAGGCAAGGGCTAGCAAATTCTCTCCTTTACACATATATTCCTTTGTCCAAAAAAATGCATATTTGTTACTAAGAACTGAGCTGAATTGCTCAATATCGTATGTGTCAACTGAGGATATTCAGTTTGATTGTAATTTTTCTGTTTATAGCTTCTAGATCTATAGGTTCCATGATGATATTACCTTGTAATCGCTTCATCGTCTTGCAGTGAAAAAATGCCAGGCCAACTGAGGTGAAACAAATGAACACACAAGATAATTCATACTAAAATAATACCAAGAGTTTTTTTTTTTTATTTTTTTATTTTTTCCCTAGATAAAACTATTAAATTGGACCTAACACAGACCTGATTTATTCTGTGTATTAAATAGAATTCCCTTTCTTCCTATAACTCCCTCCCTTTTGGTATTTTCTAAAGCAAATGCATTGATAAATATTTTGTTGTGATGCTGTTCTGAATTCATGGTCTGAATTTTTGGGTAGACCTGTGTGGTGTCAGGAGTTGAACTCGATGATCTTTATGGGTGCCTTCCAACTTGGGATATCCTATGATTCTATGCAGCATCTTCCTTAAGTCAATACCAAGCATAGATTTTTGGTCTACTTGGGCAATCCACCCTCATTTTTTTATTTTTATTTTTCTCCCAGCTTCCTATTTTTTATGCTTCCTAGTTTAACTGTTTTGTTGCCAGTGGACCATAATATGGACTTTGGCATCCATCTCTCTGCCCAGCCACTCTCTTGAAATTCTACTCCTCAGTAAAGTTCTCCTGCAAGTAAAAACTGACTCAGCATATGTTAGCCAAGGCTGCTGAGTATTAATTTATGAAAATGTCAACAAGTTAACTGGCTCATATTTGATGGAGCCTGCCACAGTAGGTGACTCAAGGGGCAATTTGGTGCTATTGCTGAGTTGATGTATTAGCAAACTGTTCCCATAAGTGTTGTTCTCTGCTTGGGTGAAGAGTGAGTAAGTTCAAGATGTCTTCTCTGAGGAAAAAATGTTCTTTGATGGTTGTTATTTCTGTATGCAGAACCACTCTTGGGTGCATCTGCCATTGACACACCCACCCCGTGGCTTCATGAGCACCTGCTTCTACACCAGAGAAGCAGCAGAAATGCACAGCTGGAGACGAGGACAAGAACTGAGAATACACTTTTTGGCAGTACTCAGTCTTGTCAGTATTTTAAACTCAGATAATGAGCTAAGACAAGGATAGGAGAAGAAAGAGTAAGGCAGAATTTTCTTAGAAATTGTATGTCTATGAAACAAGAAGGCAGACTTCAACTGAAGTACTGACTAAAGGTTTTGTATCTGTTCTACCCTTTCTTATATCAGAGAAAGCACAGCTTTCTCAATGCCATCTAACCATTGACTGCTGGTGAATAGAATTAAGAAGGTGATCTGGCTCAAATGAAGATTTTCCTCACTATTAGGCTCTACCCATTAGGCTCTCTCCTCTGAAGCATGCACATCAAGAATTTTGCTGACATTAAGTAAATGGAAAATTACTTTATTTTTATTCAAAGTAAACAGAAAGTTTGAAATTATTTAAAGAATATAGGTGTGACGCTTTAAAATTTAGATCAAAACCATTGCAGAAATGACTACTTACCAGTAGAATAGGATGTTTTGAGTAAATGCCACTTGCTTCTTAGAATTACAGTTTGCTAATTATTCTGATAATCTTATGGTATAATTTTATATCTAACTCACTATACTCTACAAACTGATACTATGTCAATATGCAAGCATTGTATGTACAACTGAAATACATGACATGGTAATGTGGTAGCTTCCATTAATTGTTGTTGCCTGAGGTTTGACTATTTTGAAATGATGGAAAGTTCTGCTGTACTTACACTTTCAAAGTTAAAATTGTGATTACTGCACCTTCCAACAAAGAGAAGCCTTGGAGCAGGTGCTCTCCAGCTTTGTGTGCTGCAGGTTTTGCTGCTGAGCTTTAGCTCTTTTCATTATGCTTACACGTTTCCTAGTGACTGCAGAATACCGCTTTCATTATGATAGCAGAGTTCCTCCTGGATAAAAAACAATTTAGTTCTCAAAAAGAGTAAATGAACTTCTGTCATGGTGTTTCAAAAGATTAAAAGTATATCCAAACTGTAGGAAGAAAATGCAATGCAATGCAAAGAAAAGGAAACAACAAAGCTCAGTAAACCTGTCTGTAGAAATACAATTGCATTTTGGATCGAAATAAATTTATACAGTTCTGTATCTGATTGGTCTTTTGCTCTGAATATACTAACCAAATAAACATTTTTCTTGCAAGTTTTCTTGATGTCAGGGCAGTTTCACAGATACATATGGGAAGAGAATTTTCTTTTTTTTTTTTTTTTTTCTTCTCCTGTGTAATAAGTAATGATGGCCAATGACACTGAAGGTGTTATGGTGCTGGTTTTACTGAGTTTAAAAAACAAGCAAACAAAACAAAAAAAAACATATATGCTTGAACGGTTCTTTTAACTAGATGTTCAAGAGCAAGTTAACTTTTAACAGAGAGGGGGCAATAGATTTCAGCATTAAACAGTAAATTCTGTTTGAAATGGACATATCAGTGAACCTGTTGTGACCTTATGGAACCAACAGCATTGACTGAGAACCCTGGAGACACAGGCATGATGTAGGGGAGAAGGATTAGGGCTCTAAATATGAGCTTTAGCAATATCATTCTTTTTGTGTCCGATTTTTCAAGGTTAAAGATGTGTATCGGAAGGAAAAAAAAAAAGAGAGAAAACTGCTTCTGCGGGCTTGTTATGTGTCATATTACATTTGCCATAACCAAGTTTGACAAGCTTTTCTTTATTTTTTCCAGCAGACAATATTATTGTTGAAGATTAGTCAGATGCCTTCTGTCCATTCCCTGCCTCACACGCTATGTCATGCAAGCAAGCTTTGATACACTTAGCATATAATTTAAATGAATGACTAATTTGGCAAGCATAATGGAAGGCACGCACACTATCCTTCAATTGCACAAACCCATTATGGAGCTTTGTTACGTCAGCTTTTATCTTCCAGAGGGAAAAGTCAGAGGATTTACTTACAAGGGCTGTGTAACTCTGGATAGAACCAGTAAACGTTTTTGCAATTGCTATAAAGTACAGGAGCGGTCAGAAATGGAGATGAGAGAACAGCCATATGAAAACTTTGGAGATATTATTTTCAAGCAAACTACAACGAAAGACATTCTCATTGAGCTGTACAGGCTAACTGCTGAAAAGGAAAAACTGTTATCCAGTCTTTTGAGATCACATCATATTCCAAGCCTTGATACAGGACAACAGGAGGGAAAGCAACAGGCTGTTTCTGGAGTCCAAAAACATAGAGGAGATGACTACTCCAGTTTTACATATCGTCAGGAATTCTTTCTGGATTCCACAAGTAGCGACAATTTTAATTGCAAAAAAAAGAGTAAATATAGAAAGAAAGAGAGCTTTGAGGAATTCAGGCACTGGAAAGGGACAAAAAAGGTGCATGAACAACATCCTTCTTTGCTGATTGGGCAAGGCATACATCTGGGAAATCAGAAGATGCCCCCCACAAGGTTTCCTATCAGGAGTTTTCCCAGTTCCTTTTCCGCATCCAGTTGTCTAATAGTAAAAGGTAAGGATGACTTACCACTAGAAATTGGTATTCAACCAGAAAGAGAGAGAGAAGATGGGTATTTTCTTGAAAGCAACAAAGTTATGAAACTGGATGCCAACTTACCGAGTTGTGTATCAAAAGACAGCAACGATATGGTTCCGGTTGAACTATTGGATAATGGAGAATGCATTCTTGAAGTTAAGAATGTACAGCAGAGTATCGCTTTGGTAGAGCCATCTCAGGACAATCTATCTAACCAACTAGAGACATTAAGTAAACCTGCAGCTGCTAAAAGCTTGAAAGATAAATGTACTGAGCAGGTATGCAAGGAGAAAGCAGCAATCGGAGTTGTTGTGAAAGTGCAGGATTCAGAAGCTTGTCTTAAAAAAGCCACACAAACCCATGCAGAGTCTTTATCTGATTTTCACAAAGGTAAAGAAACCGCTTCTCCCAATCTCACAGCAGTACCTAATGAGTTTATATCAAGAACTGATGTATATTCGGTAGATGAAGCTGCTGGAGACTCTAAAAACAGCGTGCAGCAGGAAGAGGAGCGAGACGGCTCTGTTTTGCAGTACAAAGCAGAGAGAGTGCACATTACTGATGAGTCATGCAACCCTGTGGGAGCAGTCAATAAAGCTCTTCTGAAAGTTATACGGAGTGACAGTTTAGATGAAGCTGCAGAATGGAAGAGACTGCAACAAATTACAGCAGCAGACAGAAACCTGCCAGGCTCAATATATGAGAAAAGAACCACGGTATCCCGGGGAAGCAGCAAGCATTTATTTCTGAACCTGCCTGTAAGTGAAGGTCTTGATGTTTCTCAGACAGGTAATAATCTTAAACTGGAAGAGAAAAGGCTGCATTCACCCTCGTTAATAGCTGTGAGTAATGTTTTTAGTAATTCCTATCCGCTATCTAATACACACAAACAAATGTCACCTATTCCTTCTCCATTATCTTCAAGACTGCCTAGCCCACAGCTGCATCATCGGATTCTCCCTCTACCTGCACAGAACGGCAAGGACGAACCTATGTTCGGTGACTATTGCAGTGGGAGGCACGGTGCTATAAACCTCTCTTTCAATGATTTGGAGCCGCAGTTTTATCTGAAGTTTTCTGAACCTGGAGAATTGGGATTTGCCATCAGACAACCGGGCCTACATCAGAATGCAACTGCAGGGCATTTTGAAAAGCGCACTCTACAAGGAAGATTCACTACTCGGACACCTCAGAATTTCTGCCCAGGTCAGTCCTATTTTAGATATTCCTAAACTAGCAGAATTGACCATGCACGAAACTATCAGAGCTTTTTAAAATATTAGCCTTTAATAATAAACCATGTTTCCTTTCAAACTATGTTTCACTGCTTAAAGAATGAGTGAAAAGTTGTTGAATTTTTAAACAAAAGTTATAGCTACATAGGATTTGCTTTCAGATGCATTTTTTTTTGTCAGATTATGTTCAATGTTGTTGTTACCAAATCACTTATTATGATTTAACCAAAGGTAAATAGATACACAGAGAGGAAGCATGTTAAACTTTATTATTTATTTTATCAGTAACTATGTATAATTTTTCAACTTACAGAAATATATCCTAACATAATAGCTAAGATAATACCTTAAATAGATTTTTTTTCTATATAAAAAGGTCCTGCTTTTCCTGTGTTTTAATCTGTCAAAATGCTGTCATAACTTTTATTGTCCAAAGCATTATTTTTCGTTTGTTTGGCTTTACTTACAGAATGTTGTATGAGCAAGCTAATTTACATTGCCTTAAGTATAGGACTGGTGTTGTGACCATTTAGCTACAAGAGATTGATGTAAATTCTCCACCAACAAAATGCTTGCTTTTAAAAGGACTGCATGCAAGAGTCATGTTAAAAAAATGCTGGAATGAAGTGTATGGGTGTTTTTTAAACATATACTGTGAATATAAAAATGCATGAATGACATACTATACAGCTAGCTTTATTAGCTAGAACTTTGACATTTATATCCTTTTTTTTTTTTTTTCCTTTTCTTTTTTTTTTTTCCCTTTAGTAATAAGAAAGCCAGAGGACCTAATTCCACAGTGGTCTGGGTGTGGCTTAGGCTGGTCTGTATGTGTTTTAGGAAGGGGTAACAACGCAAGGCGATATCATTTCCCTACAAAAGAGAAAGAGGTCCTAATCTGCAACCTTAAAACTTTTCAGGGAAAATCAGATCACTTTCTCCCGGTTCACAAAAATGGAACAAAAAACCTCTCTTCTCTCTTTCTCTCTTTTTGTGGGTTAATCTTTTGTTGTTTTAGTTACCTAAATTGCTTCACTGGCTGTCTTAATAAGTGCCTTCCAGAGAGGGTGCAAGATGAGTTACAGGGTGCTACAGTCTAAAACAGGGAGGAAGACATGGCACAAGAAGAAGGGGAGGTGTGTAGGAATGTGAAGCCATTACCTTAGTCAAAGGGTGTTGAATGCTGCCTATGAGACTTGTGTTTATGTGTGGTGCTTCTAGAAGTTGCTCTGTAATTGTTGTTGCACTCTTAGAGTGCTGTTAGATGAGTTGACAAAGCTAATGTAAACACTTACTGCTGGGGGAAAAAAAAAAAAAGTGTTATGCTCTTGTTCTTCCCTTTCTTCCTTGGTTCCTATTGTCCTATCCCTCTTGTTACTTCTGGTACTGATCATAAGTTTAGGTGAGCTGGTTTACCTCATGAAACCAGCAGAAAATATCACCCCTTTAGAATAATATTTTTATTAAATTAAATTAAATTAAATTAAAAAAAAATATATAGTATTTTTAACTACTTTATAATTTAGGATCCTCAGATGGGGAACTATTGTGCTGCACTCCATAAGAAAAATAAAACGTCCATACAAATAGCATCTGTTGGCTGAAAATCCAAGTTACTAAGCAGAAACATCTTAGTGAAGAGAACAAAGTGCAGACAAAACAAGTCCTTAGTTCTTGATTACAATTATCTTGCAACATTAGTACAGATATAAAATATCAGTGCAACTTTCTGAAAGATGTAATACTATTCCCTTTTGTTTCATTTTCGTGTATGATTGAGTGCCATCATTATTACCTGTGTGTCAGAAAATCTGTAACTTTAGGGAAGAGCTTCCTACTTTACTACCCTATAGAAGACTGTAGATATGTCTCTGGATCTGAGATAATATAAATTTCCATTTTGTTCTGAACTGGAGATTAAATCATTCTTACAGAGCATTGGTTGTACCCCTTTCTGGTAAGCATAAGAAATAAATAATTGTCTGTAGTACAGTAGGGCAAATGAAGCATCACCAAGTTTAGGCAACATAAGTGGTACTAAGATTTACAGCTGTAAATTTGCAGTCCTGGTTTGATCCTTATCAGACTCCTCCCATGTCTGAAGATCAAAATCCAAGACTATTGTTCAGATTTGTCTTTAATGGGGTACTGTTGTGAAATGGGTTCTCTTGCATCTTGTCTGTATTAAATTGTGTAAGTATCTACAATGAATCTGAGTCATGGAGATGTTCAGCTGACTATCAGTCAGTTTGGTTGAAGGTTTTATTTCATGTCAAAAATGTTGGTCTTATGAAAGTCTCCTCCAAAGTTTTATTAGTGTCAGTCTGCAGCACTTAATACTGCAAAGCATTTGGAACCTTTCATTACCTGTGTATTTGGATAATTTGAGGAATTTATTAAAACATTATTTTAAGTGCAAAACCTCAAGGTGTTTTGCATTGTAAATGACAAATTGGACTCATAGAACTCTACCCATATTTTTTTAATTCTCTTTTGTGAGAATTTTTGTTTTAAATCACAGTTCTTCACTCTGACTGCAAGAATATTCTCCAATTATCTAGAACTGTAACCTTTAGCTAAGGCAGAGTGCTTCCACTTTTTCTGCAAGTTCAGTTTCTTTACAGCAAATACTCATGGCAAAAAATCTCCTCATTTCATTACACAGTTCTATCAGTAATTCACTTGAAAATACAGATTTATGGACCTTCCTGTTGAAGTGCAACTGCTGGCCATGGGAACAGGCCACAGTTTTTATCTTAGCAGATTAATAGTTACCTGGGAAGAATTTGTATTTCAGTGATAATTATTTAGCAATTTTCTCTGTAAGTGGGGCTATGAATTAATGTTCCTATATTTACATTTAGTCATTCCCTTTGAATTACCAAAATCCTAAATAAAAGCTTTGGAATAAATTAAGAGTTTCAAGAAATAAATGTCCTCAATGTATCTGAATACCTGTCTCAAGGAAAGATGTTTTGAAAGCTTTCACTTTCTGACTGTGCTTCTTTCTCAAGTTAATATTTGCACTGACAGAAAAATATGGGGAGAAAATTTTCAGTGTTGCTTTATTTAATTAATAGAGAATGCTACCAATATGTTGTCTTACTAAGTATTACCTGAAGGGAGAGGAAGATTACTGGTGTTTTTAGTAATTTGATTCAGAGCAGGAAACTTAAAAATCTCTGGTTATGACATAGCCTCTACAACTTTGGGCAATTCAGCCACGACATCCCATTACTTCAGGATGATCACCACAGCAAAAGAGCCTGGGGTGGGTCATTTGCCATGCTTTCTTTTGTGTACGTTAGTGGTGGTGTGTAAAAAGAATGAAGAACTGGTTAAGAGGAATGGTGAAAGAAAGAAGGAGAAGAAATTAGATTAATGGTGTCACCTCAGTGCCCCAGACAGTGAAAATTTACTCCTTCTGATACTTAGGAGTTGTGAGAGAGAAGTATATCTGACAAACACAGAAACGAAAAGTTAGTAGCACTGTAGAGAAACTGAAAATGTCTGAGCCTGTGCCACTGAAAGGGACAGGACATTCTCCCTGTGTTATCTTCCCTTCTCCCAGCAGAGGCATCCTTTCTTACTATCCATGGCCCCATTGGAACAACTCTAGCGTTTATCTCGGTATTTTGAGTCAGATCACTAAGCAAATTGAAAACTAAGCCACAAGGAGAGAGGTGAACAGCTTTTGCTGTTTTAGTGAGCTGAACAGTTCACCAGCAATCTGATGAAAACCAAAGCTAATGCTCCAGTACCTCAATTGCATTGCAGCACTGTGGAAATGGCTAAAACAGAAGTTGTTAGGAATGGTGAATGAAACTAGATGATGAAGCTTTTAGGTGGATATGGTAGGTCTAGTTAATTTGGGATGAAAAGAGAGAGGTTAGGCAACAGAGAAAGGGGAGCTCACATAGAGAGGGTAGGGAGCCTGGCCTTGGCTAGAATGAAGAATGGGAATGGAGTATCATGAAGTAAGTGTAGCACAGCAGGTTAGAGTTGAGAGGATTAATTTTTGTGGGAACGTGTGTGAAAAGACCTGTAACCATTAGAGTGTATTTCAGTGGATGTAAAGTTACCATGCTTGTTGTGATGTATGGAGGGCCACTTATGCTTATGCTCTGGAAGAGATTGCTAAATATAATTCCTCAGATTTCTCAAATATATACCCAAGAGCTCATGGTAGTATATTCCAGACACAACAGTAGCTGCATCTATCCCCGCTAATGATTAGATGGAGAATGTTATGTTTGCTTGTTACTGCCAATGGGAATTTTATGGCAGCAGCTTGATTTCCATTAGATGAGAGTTTCTGTGGACAAAATTGACAATGAGCACTCTGGCAATTTTGTGTGGTTGTCAAAAGTTATGCACTGCTGTTTGAAAACATGCCAACTGTTAATGGTTACCTTCAGGAGATCCATTTTACAGTCTTAAAGTATAATAAAAGTGCTTCAACTTATAAAAGGCTGTTTACTGTAATATGGATAAATCCTTGAGTAAGTATTATCCTTAAATTGGTCTAAGATCAGAATCCTTGTATGTCAGTCCTCAAGTGTTTTTAAGGGAATAAAAAGCACAAAACTATTTTTATCATGGTACTTCACATGCTGGTGGCTGGAGGAACAGTTTTCATAATCTTGCTTTGAAAGCTGTCCTACTTGTTATGACTTCCAACTTCCAGTAACATTTTTCTGGGTTCATTTGTGTTTGCAATGTAAGCACAGCTTACTTCCATGTGAACTACAATACTCTGATTCTTCAAATATAGCAGTTACATAGTCTATTTAAATTTCCAGCATTAAGGTAGCAGGCTGAAGTATTACTTGTATAAGCCTTAGTGTTTGGATTTGATTGACTGTATTAGAATTAACCACCAGACATATATACATGTCATATATATATATGTATGTCATATGACATACATATATATATGACATATATATATATATATACACATATATACAC